CCCCACACCCCCCTCACCCGTCTCCCCGCCCCGGGCCCACTCACCGCCGCCGCTACCGGAGCCTGGGACCAGCAGCGCGAGCCAAACGCGCCACTTCCGCCCGCCGGAGCAGCCTGATGACGCCACGCGCGCGCACGCCATGATGGGAACCCGGGAGGAATTAATCAATTAATTAATTAATTAATTAATGAACGGCCAACCTCTGCCTATTTCAACAATAAATTAAAAACATCCAAGTCACACCCAGCACGTCAGTGGCAGAACGGGCGCGGCCTCGCGCCGCCCCTCAGCGCCCGCCTCGCGCTGCAGCATCATCCTTAACGATTAATACAAAAACAGTTCAATTTTATTATTACCCACATGAATAATCGTTCTAACGAGCGTTTAAACCAGTCGACAAAACTAACGCACAGCGAAGGAGGATTTACATCGGTTCGGTGCCAGAAGGGCAACTCCAAAAAAGTAAAGTTAATCCCTAAAACAGCAAATTAGTTGAGACTCCACAGATCATTTAATTACCGTTAAAGTTACGAGGTTAACCAGGACTCCAGGTTCTAACACAATACATCGTCACAGCTACTTTATCATCCATCCATCCACCCACCATTTCAGCTGGGAAATAACGCTATTTTAGAAACATGAACAATAACACTCGACATTTGCAAGTCCGTGTTCCTCGGCAAGGACTGGGGTTATTTCAGGAATTCACATTTGAGGGAAGATGTGCCATTTCCAGGAGCTGTGGAGTGAATTCTTAACGAAGTGGTCCTCGTTTACCCAAATGAACAATACTCGTGTGACCAGAGGAAGAAAATGTCTTACAAGTGGACAGTGAAGAGGTCGGTTTGTTTAATCTAATAAAAATAAAAGGCCAAGAAGACTGCGTAGAAAAGTACATAAAATCAACACTGTGAAAACAAACCCCTGGTAACACGAGATTATCCTGCTGCCACGGAACAGGTGGGCTAAACCAGCCACTAATAAGCTTGAACATGTGTTAGAAATTACCCAAATCCTCCCAGCTGTTTGGTTCACAGCCACAGGGAAGGCAAAAAACCTGCTGGCTTTTAAATGAAGCTCCGTCAGCTGCTGAAGGGGCTCTCACATGAGAGCAGAGCAAGGCGACCAGAAAGCCACTCACATTTCCATCTTCCAACAAAAGTCGAAATATGATGCAAACCAGACTTTGTTTTCTGCCAAATACATTGAGATTTTCGAAAGTGTAACTACAAAAAAACAAATCAACCAAGAAACCACAGAGCTCCACCCCACAGCTTTTTCTCAAAATGAGAGGAGCACAAAGAAACAAAAAACCACAGATAACACACATACAATAATGAAAAACAAAATTAAAATGACATTTTCCTCCTGTTCAAATTTCAGGGAATACGCCCCAGGCAGGTATAGAATGTGACCTGAAGTAAGCTCAGACAAAACAAGCGCGCGCTGTCTGAACACCAGACTCTCTGGGAACACGTTTTTGCTCTCTGCAGGAATAGTTCACCCAAGCTAAGGGAACACCTCACATGTGGAAATGGAACAATGAGTTTAAGTTTTGCAGGAACTCCACAGGTAACTTCCTATTAGAAATCATTTTTACCATAAAGACCACTTTATCCATGCTTCTAATGCCATCCTATATATAATCTTTCACAATAGTGGCAATTCTTAAAATCAGTTCATTTTAATTGCTAATTTAATCTTTTTACTGAGAAGTCAAATAGAATTTTTTGTAGCCACATGTGCTTTTTTGCCAAAACTAACTACTAATACTAAGAATTTTCTTAAATTTTTTTGAAAATTAACTTTTAATCTTTGTTCTACCACAAAACAGAATTTCCTTTAAAAATAAAACTTCTTAAAAGCAGTAGAAATAAAGGTTAGCCTCAGTTTATGGTTAATATTCCTCCCTTGAGTGACTTCTCTTCCATCTGTCACAGACACCTCTGAGATTCTCTACATAACCACAAATGATAGAAATACTTTGCACATAGGTCAGAATTATAACCCTGAGTTTCTAAAAGGCAGTATTTTGTTGCACTCTTAGAAATAATACCAAAAAAAGAAGAGATATTTACTTCCTCATAACAGAAATACAAAATGCAAGAAATTAAAATGGTTTCTTCTAGAAATAGAGAGATCCTGCTTCCTTTACCACCAAAATTTTCAGTGGTTTTTTACCTCTAAGCAACTGCAAATATTTAATTCAACACTCCATTTATACAGTGCACATGTATGTGTGTATACTCACATTTCCATATTGTCAACACACAACCAGGATGCAACATTTCCATGTTAAATTTTAGTAGGAAAAAAAATCACTTTTCATTCCTAGTTTTGTACTCAGAAAATAGCTGCTCATCACTGCTTTGGGACATGGACTTATTTCCATAGTTTACTTCAACTAAACATTTAGTAAAGTCATTCATTTGTTGGGAGAGAAGGGGCTTCCTTCTTCCAGCTCTATGACACACACAAACGATGGAGGATGCAGGCAGCTTAGAGTAACAAACAACTAGGAATTTCGGTTACCCACCGATTTCATTCCACTGCAAACACACAGGATACAGTGATGGGTCTGTGTTTTCACATTATTTTGATGTGTGGGGAGAAAGGAATTGTTTTTCCACAAGACACTGAAGTTCTTTCTCTAATACAGGCTTGTTTGTTATTTGCAGTCAAGGAAAGACAATAAAGCCCACGTTTACCACATTATATGAGACTAGGTCCTCTGGTATATCAGTAAATCAAGATTTACTGGATTCTTCCCATTGTTTTCTCTCTGCTTCAAGTCTGAGGCTTGAACTCAAAGGAAACAAATCAGCATCAACAGTTGAAGAAACAACCACTTTCAGGAAGATTTTCTTTTGAGTTATATGAGGTTGGAAGAATAAATGGCCATATTAATTATACGGTTCCAAATCCTTGGCAATTAGTGGCTCAGTATCTTCTGTTGTGCTTTGGGCGGATTGCGGGGCGGCAGCTGCCAGGCTGTGTATAGTCTCTTGCTGATGCTGCTTTGCCTTGTTATATAGTAGAACTCCAATTGTCACTAGGACAGTCCCAATGGCTGAGAGGCTTGTGATTTTGTTACCAAACACAATAATACTTAGCCAGATTGACAGCGCGTGCTTCACAGTACTAGCAACACTAGAAAGGAATATAAAAATTAAGGCCAAAGAAAGCTCTCTCACATCCCCCACACAACCATGCTTTAGTGTAGCGGGACCTCTCAGTTTTGCTTTTAAAACACCAACTCAGATTCCACTTTTCTCCCTGAAGCAAACACCAATAGCAAATTGCTTGCGTACCAGCACTCATTCCCTTTACACTTACCTTAATTTTAGGGCTAGTATGAATAATTCACCTCAGGTTTTTGTTTTAGTTGCTTTTAAATATGCAGGAGTGTTAGTAATTCATTTCTAGCTAACACAGACATCCAGAAAATGCAACAGAACACTAGCAACAGAACTATCATTTAAAAGTGTGCTGCACTTTTAAGTTATAGAGCATTAAGTTATTTAAGTTATAGAGCATTATAACCTGAAAAGAACCAATATCTAAATCATACCAACAACATCATGGCAAGTATTTCAGGAATTTTGTGTACATGCAAATATTAATATAAGCTTTTACATCCTATTATGTAGAGAAGACAAACAACTTCAGAATAAACATGTATGAATTGTCACAAAACTGTAGCAAGGGCACCTTAAAATGTAAGGGAGCAGAAGCCTTCAGAGTGTAGGAGCAGGTTTACCCCACAGTCCCCAGGGTTATTCATACAAGTGACCAATTATTGACTCAGAATTGTGTAACAGCCTAACAAAGCTGCCAATAACAGACAGTTTAGGTGGAATATATACGAAATACAGCTTGACATGCTTGTGTCATGCCGCAGAAAAAAAGGAATACAGAGCTGATGGCTCATATTCTGTTCTGCACCGAGATGTATATAGGTATTGCCTTACCACTGCAGCAAACAGCAGCTTAAATATTGGATCAGATTCATGAATCTGTTCAGTCTCATTAACCAGCTTTAAGGAACAGCTGTTAAACCCGAATTCAATACTCCTGCTAGTAATGTGACCACCTGTTCCATAAGCTCAGCATTGCTTATTTCTTTGCACAATACCTCTGCTGCCCAATTCTCAAGCAGAAATACTGAGCAAGAAAGGAAAAAAGAAATAAAAAAATCATGTTCTTGACATGAAAATGGAGTTTTACCTGAAAGTCACAGGAGAAATTTTTCCCATCAAGGCATAAGCTGTAACACTTTGTAAGTGGAACAAGACTCCATCTATTAAGAGAAGTATGACAATATCTTGGTTGTAGCTGAAGCTCCTCCCACTTTTCCCAATCACAGGCACATCCTAAACAACAAAAAAAGGGACTTTTTTAAAAGTTTAGTTTATAAGCAAATTTAAAAGCAATTTTCCACCCAACTCGTCATTATTATTATTATAATCAGATACAGTTTTACATTTAAACTTCAGCAAAACAAAACCTAAAACATACAGGACATTTAGATCCTAGAAATTTCCTCCCCTAAAATAACATATTAGAAAAACAGCTCTCACCTGACTGAACTTTCCAGTGTGTTCAGCCTGCCTGTGAAATATTCTGGTTTTTGAACACTGATGCAATAAAATGCCAAAATTTGAAGCATACATATTTAACTGATACATTATACTTACTTAAGCTCAAATTTACTTTCACAGGGTTAATACCCCTGTACACCATGTGAATATCAACAAAAAGTCAACAAATATTTAAGGTTTGGTTTGCAAATCTTTCTCTAAAACTTTAAATGCACTTAGAAAAAAAAAATTACAATTTGATCTCAAAAATCCTGAGATAAACTCAAGCTTTCTGGGTCACTTGTCAGCTCATGTCTATAATAAATTATTTTTTTGAAAATTTTCTCTTTTTTACCTCCCCCAATCTCTTACAAATAAAAGATTAAATGCATTTCAGGGTGATTTTTAAGAAGTGAGAAGAATGAAAAGTAAGAATTAAAATTAATCTTAGTTGCACATTCTGCTCACAAATTAAAAAGAAACCATAAATCCGTGTTAGTGAATTCAAATTACCATGAAAAATATCCAAGCTGGAATAAGCATAACCACTGCAGCAGCACTTGTGTAGAACTGAAGCTCTGGGGCTCTACAAAGTAGAAAAACCAATTATTTAAATGACTAAAATATTCCTCTTTCTCAGAGCTGAAGAAAGCTGCATCGTTATTGTATTTACAGATATGAAAAAGCAGTAAAAGCCATCTACCAAGCTTTGGGGCCCACAAATTCAGCAATCTTTTGCAAATACAGTGTTTTGCTTTTTGTGTTGGCTGAGCTGGATTGAAGATAAAAGGCACATGGTTACAAGGGCAAAACTAGCATTTTATCTTGTGGTAACACACATCCATATAGCTAGAGGTATACTTTACCCCAGGATTTTCCTTCTGGCTCTCATTTCATAGTTAAAACATTGAGCAAGTTCTGAAGTTCGTTTCTGCATGCCTAATAAAGTTAAGGCATGTTTTATGATTGCAGAATAAGGACTTATTTCTGTGAAAAAATGACTCATTTTGAGTATGCTGATAGTTTTAGCCAATTATGAGACTCTGACCTACTGTAGTGGGGATCTGAGCATAGGGGAGTTTGCAGACAGCTTTAATAGAAGTCATTTTATCAGGGAAAGCAAACAGCCTGAGGGAAAAAAAATTGGTGCAATACAATCATAAATGTATGGTTTCCTTATGCAACCCAAAATCCATCAAACCTGAAATATTTTTAATACTTACGAAAACCTGTATTTATCTCCACTGAGCAGTTTTTTGGAAAAGACATTTTGCAAACTGGAAAAACAAAACAAACCACAACATCATTTATCTGTATTTTAGTTAGGACAAATGAATCAATCCATGAGAAAGCTGTTTCCCTTACATGGGTATATATGTTTCCTACACATTATGCAATTACAGAAGAGTTTGGTCTAACTCCTTTAGACTAATGGAGTTGTACTTTTTTTTAATCTCATTAATGCTAGCAGATATGATAGAGAGACTGTATCTTCTGTTAAAAATAAACTTTAAATACCAATTTTTAAATATAATGTACAAAAAACCCCTACAAGCAACAGTTTTCTTCAATCTACCAACAAACAAAATTCCTTTATTCCACATATGCAACTATCCTTATGCCTTACCAGTCCATGATATTAGTAGATAAAGCTGCTGAGAAACCTAGAATGTTGAAACTGATTTCAGTAGCTGTACATAGAGCCAGCCCACCCATAACAGGAATGAGAGAGAGATTAACCAGCAGCCCTGCAAATGAAAAGAAAAATTTAAATGAGTTTAATTACTGTACTTCCAATTATATGTATCAGATACTGTACTTTTTCAAAGTTTAAATTCCACCTTAACATCTTTAGTTGAAAGAAAGTGCAACTTATTTGACTGGATTTTGAAGTACAGAGGTTCTAAAGTGAGATCTCAAAGAGTTAGCAGGATGCTCTTGAAAACAGTGTGGACATTTACTCACTGATAAAAGTATCTTCCCTGGAGAAAGAAAAGAGACTGATGATTGTCTTTGTTTCATCTTTTTCACCAAGTAACAGAAGAAAATTTCTCTCCCTGTTTACTCTGTGATTGAATTCTCTTCATCCTCTGGCTTATTTCAGCCTTTTACCTTTTGCATCACAAAGCAATCTATATATGGCTTTCTACAACTTATACTGGGAACCAGCAAAACCTCTTCAAGCAAACAGCATGCACTTGCAAGTGGAATCACAAAGAAATTATATTGTGGTATGGAAGGAATTCTATCATGGTAAGCCAGTTGTTTGGTTTTGTTTCTTTTTTTTTTTTAATCACAGCATGAACACAGTGAAGAAATTAAAGAATTTTAAATTCTAAGCAACAAGTTGTCCTTTTAAGAAGGAACATACTAAAGTTATTTAAAGCTGCAATAATATTTTCTTGACAGAAAAATAACTTCAGAGCAACAATGCCCTGGCACAGCTGCATTAAAAAAATCCTTTTTTACTTAAATATACTCTACTTATTGTGTTCAAACAGAATGATTCTTCCAGCTGCATTTACTATATTTCAGTGGAATTTCCTTGTCCACAGCCAACTAAGTGACAGTATTACTAAAAGAAAAAATTGGAAAAGAAATATTACATTTAAACAGTGAAGTACTCACCAGTGTATTCCCCCAATATCATCCGAGACATGATAACAGTAAAAATAGGTGCAGAGCTTTTAACTGTTTCTGCAAATGAAACTGCCACGTTTTTCAAGCTGACAAGACCCAAGACTACTGTTGCAAATCTGTAGTAGAAGAACACATTAAATTAAGCAGAAAAAATAATGCTGTAACAGCTACGCTTGGACATCTAGCTTAAAAACAGTTGCATTGTAATTTCTCTAGGTTTATAAATTTGAGCTGCACTAACTAAGAATATGGACAGGTGTAGCTGGCAAGTTACCAACTCATACTAGCTTAACCCATCAGCTGGGAAGTGGAACGTGTCAGATCTATTTCTTTCCACTTTGGCTTAAACATTATTATTTATTTAGCACAAATGAAGGCACCCTTGGGCAACTGTGCAGCTTCTACAGAGGTACAGTGGACTTACAGAAAACAAAGTTTACTTTTTAATGCACTCTAACCAAGTTCCAGATGACAGGGTTTTAAGCTAACATTTCCAATAGGCTCAGATGAAAGAGCTGGTAAAATTCAGCTGCTAAATGGTAATTCACCAAGGAAATTTTATCATTTGCAGTTATCCATCTTTAGTGTAAATTAGGTACACTACACGTGTACCATGTTTTAACCCATAAAATTAAACAGGGCGGCACAGTTATTGTGATAAAGCTACTCTGAATTAATTTTAATCTTATCCTTTATCATTTTTGCAATGTAGAGGAAGCCAAATCATACATTCTTATTCTCTCCCAGACCACAAACTGATACTATTCCAGCACACAGCAAATATTTACTTTTTAAAAGGTAACTGTTAATAGCCTGTGCCACTTTTGAGGCAAACTGTGGAAAAGGTAAAGGAACAAAGCAACTTCATAATAAATTCTAGTACACTAAACAAACATCAGACATCAGCCTCAAAAGAGAGCAGGAAGAAAGTAAATGGAAAGAGAAGGGAAGTGTGTTCTCAAAGAACTTAAATGTGATGGGAAGCCAAGCTAGCCAAAAAATTGACATCTGGAAAAAGGAATGTAGCATTTTGCAATAGGAACTAAAAATAAAATGGTCCTGTGATTTTTTTCTGGGGGAGAGGTGAATACTTCAAACACTTTCCAATCAAGAATGAAAAGGAAGAGAGCAATGGAAATACAGCTTCCGTTCAGAAGAACACAGTGAAGCAACCAGAGAGATCCTAGGAAATATTTAACCATTTACCTCATTAATCCAACAAACAGCATTATCATGATGAAATTGGGTGGGTAAGAGATACGTGTTTTGTGTTGATACAAGCAGCACGGAACAAACATTTTTATACAGCCAATGAAGGTGGTTGAAAGCATTTGAACAGCACCTAAAGAAAGATGAGAGATCAGAAGGTCATGGGAACATGACAAATCAAGCAACAGAAGAAAATTTCTTAGACAAACTTGTGTGCAGTACTTTCAGCAGTTAAGAAACATGGCAACTACAGTCTAGATTGTATAAATTCTCACACAAGCCCTTTAATTCTACATCTACCAGCAAGGCAGCAGAATAAAACAAAGGTGACATCCACCTATAAAATCCGGTTCATGATAACATGCCCTTTGTTTCCCCCTTAAAAAAAGAAAAAAAAAGAATAAGATGACAATTGGATAATAAAGATCACACAAAGGCAACTTTGGCACTTCTACAGACAACATCTTAACAGCACTGGAGACCATCAACAACTGACTCCGGATTTTATTTTTTAAAAACCTTGCACTACCCTCCAACATCGAAAACAAAAAAGTTACATTTTCCTTTCTTTGTTCTCAAACACTATCTTACAGCTTCTCAGTGAGCAGAGCTTCAGAGTGTCTTTCAGCAAGCAGAGCAAAGGACAGGGTCAGAAACCCCTTTACAGGCTGAGATCACAACTCATGAGTTCCCAGCCACAAGATCCACCCCCACCTCTCCTAACTAGGTCATTTTCACTTCAGTTGAACCATTTTGTCCCTCAGTTTTATATAAGAGCATCTGGTATTGTCAAGTATCTTACTGGAATTAAAGTGTAAAAGGAAAAATAGGGTTACCTAGCATGCTGGGCTCTCCTTCCAGTAACGAAAGAATGTATTTGTTAAGAAAAAGAGTGCAAAAGCTGAAGAAAAACCACAAAGTGAGGTAGATGAGAGCATGAGAATTCCAGATGCCCAAGTCCGACTCAATGACCGTAGTTTCTGTGATGGTTATTTTCAGAACGTTCTCCTCTGGTACACTGTCACTCCTAGCAATGACAAATTTTTCACTCCTGTTAGCAAAGAATGAACCCAAATGAAACAGGGATTTTCCCTTTGGCTTTTCTTCAGCGGGGGGAGGATTAGGTTCCTCCGGTGTCTGAGCACTTGTCACAGTCGACATGCTGACATTAAGAAATCAGTATTTGTCCTTAACACAAACCAACATTGACTTAGCACAGAGGAGCACTTTGACAGAACAAAAATGTCATGTGATTAGTCTTTCATCTCCCATGGCCTGAAAAAGTGTAGTTGATCCTCCAAATAACATCTTGCATAAAAATAAACTTCACATGCTTCTTCATGTGGTCTGTTCCATTCTTTTCTGCCTAAAAATGAAAAAAAAAAAAAAAAAGAGAAAGAAGGAAAAAAGAATGTAGCTCTGAACACAAAGACATTTTAAATCCCTAATGCAGCAAAGATACCACATTTCACCTGCAGTTTATGAAAAATAAGACTTCTATAGCTTGTCTTTCAGACTGGATTTTGCACTCCTAATATCATGATACCAAGATTAAGCACTAAGAACTTATCTAAGGGAGATTTTTAAATTGTAAAATAGCATGCTCACACACAAAAGACTTCATGTGTTTTGAAATTCTTTCTCCTCTACAGCATGTCAACACAGCCTTTTCAGTTATAATTAACTCCTTTTCAAGATTCTACAGTTTCTTTGATCTCAGTCTGAGGTCTTCTTATAACCACTCAACAGAAAAATCTTCACAACCCAGAAAATCTGGGCAGGAGCCTGTACCCTTAGTACTAATTAACCTATTATCAGCGTGAGTCAACGTGAGCAATCAATAATCAAGGACTGTAACTTCCAATAATCATAAACACAGTTATCCTGGTAAATAAGATCTAGGTAGGAAAATAAGTCCAAGAGCTTTCCACTATTTAAATACTTGTAAATTTATTTAATTACTTGTAAATAACTCAACATTATTTTGCCATGCAGTACTGTTAGAGCTTGCAATAATTCTTAAAGCCTTTTTAAAAGATCTGACAGAAAAAGGCATTAAATCATTTGCAACTAGAGCTTTCTCCTCTTAGAAACTACATGAAATGTGGCAAGTTACAGTAGAAGAGTACAGAGAACAACAAACACACACAGTGACCTTTATTCTTGTCAAGTCATACAATGCTAGTTCACATCATACTGCTAACAGAGTCAAAGTCTGCATTAAGAAAGAAGGAAACTGCACCTGAGCAGCTTCTCTGCAACATTAGAACACGCTATTGGATTTATTGCTTTCTATTTTACAGCCTGTGTTTTATGAGCAAAATAAAATAGGATGAATCAGACAAGAATGAAATGACACAACAAACACACACTAGGGTAAAGTATGTTTGAAATACTTTTATCCAGAAGCACATTTACTGGATAGAGAAGATGGTGGAGTGTACAGAGTTAAAAAGTAATTCTTGTGGGGGAAGTTAATCACCAGACATCTTGGAAAAGCTGTCTGAAATGAGATTGTAACACTACAGTGCATCAGGCAGTGACAGCACAAGAAACAATCAACGGCAAACAAAAACACAAGAGTTGCAACAAGAGCTACTGCACCTGCCCTGATTTTGTTAGTGTGTGAACAGGAGAATAGGATACATTATTTTCTTCATGCTTTTTATTTGGCATCTCAAAATAAATCATAAAGAGATCCTAAAGAGTTAAATATATTGTGGCAGTTTCAATATCCTAAACAGCAGCTACTTTACACTGAATTTTTGCATTCCTCATGTTTTCTATTCCTGTTATTACAGCCATGTAAAGAAGGTTTCCATCCCTATCCCCTCATCTCTTTCCATTTTACCAGGAAATCATGCTAGCAGGACACCGAGGTACAAGACCCTCTTGACACACTCACGTTAAACCATAAACTTGCATTAACCCAGTTTAAAACAAAACTTTGAAGGAAGATATGAATTCTTTAACAGAATTTGTTAAGAAAAATGGATTCTTGACTCCTCCTTTTTTAGCTCTTAAAAAAAAATACGCCTCTACATTCCAAATGGTTAGTTATCACAACTTGGTTAATACTTTTTCTGTTTGTACTCCTCAACAACAAAAGCAATTAAGCAAAACAAAACTCCCACCCTCAGCAGCACTGCGATATCATATTTTATATCACTGATACAACACACAGCAGGAAGCAAAACAGCAAATAAGAACAAAACTACTCCCTTAAATTACTGACCTGCTGTCTTAAATCAACTGGAAAGCCTTAAATGGGCTGAAAGAGTTTTCCATCTGGAACTAATTCAGTCTTCCTCCCTTAAGACCAACCAGCAGCTGATGTTTACCAATAGATGGAAACGTGGCAGTGGTTGGCAGACTGTTTCTCTTGGATTACACACAAACATTCAACCTTCCAGTTCAAAAGAACAAACAGCATGCAGTGCATTTTACACTCTGCCTTGCATCTCCTCCAGATTTTAACTACATTAGCAATAAAAATGTTGCATTTAAGGTGGAAAAAATATGGAGTATAAGCTTTGAGAGTCTCAAACAAACTCTGACTTACAAGTAGCAGCTAATTACCAGTTCAACAACTCCCCAATTTCTTAAGCTTTAAGCCGTCATATTCGTAAGACTACCTGCATGCAAACTCCTTTTCCCTTTCTACTCAGAGCAGTTCAAAATTTAAGCAGAAATACTTTCATTTCAAACTTAAAAGAGCAGCAGAGAAAAACCTTCCACACCAACATCAAATTAATAAAAGAGAAGGAAAAACCCAAGAACTTGACCTCATGTAAAGTTTTATGGCTGTATAGTTTTCCCACACAATTTAAAAGGAACCAAAATCAGTTTTTCTTCTCTGGTGAAGGGGAGGTCTGTGTCACATCCTTCCTCCAGAACTGCAGAGATGTGAGGGGTGAAGCAGCTGGTGAAAAATCCAGCAGCAAGTGCTCAGCAACATTCTAATGGGGCCCTGACACATTCCCCACACCTGGCATTCACTGAGGGGTTCTACAACAGAGCTAGGGATGAGATAAGTGCAGGCAGCTGGGCTGTCTTCACCCAGCACTAACACCACCCAGCCATCTTCTTCCAAAATAAGTGTAAAGTGAGAAAATCACGAGTTCTTTCAGAGCCCTATTTGATAAGAAACCAAAAGGCAAGAGAGGAAACCAACTCAGATATTAAATTTCTTCGATGCGACTATCACTGACGTTGTCAAAAATACTCATAATAGTATTCACTTTCTTTTTAACTGCAGTTTTAACTCTAATTTTTAAGAAATTGACAAGAATAAAAAAGCCAACAATATAGCCAAAGTTCAATATAACCAGAGTCTTTCCTTAGAACTGCAAGAATAAAATTGTTTAAAGATAACACATACAGCAACAAGAGACAAAGCAGTCACATGAAAGAGGGAATAGAGCATTTTTTTTAAAATTACATATACTACACCAAGACATGATTTATTGTGAAAATAAAGCATAGCATTTCCAGCACTACAGATTCAGGGGTTTTTAACTAACTATGGCAACCCTGGTTATGCACAGAGTCCTTCATGATTCTTCCACAGACCATACTAAATATTTTTTATGAGTGAAATATATTCACTGGCAAGCATCTATCAGCTTCTCCAACAAATTTAATCCAAATTCTTCTGTGATGCAGCTCACCTCAAAACTGATACCTTTTGGTCAGAAGCTCTAATTATTTCTTCAACAGCTAAGCAGGTTCTGACAATCACCACTCCACGTATGACACTGACATATTTGCAGTCATTTGTCTAAGACTGGAAGCACTCTGGACTTTGGAATAACCACCATCTAGTTTGTATATATAAAGACAGATACTTTCTTTTGACAGTATCCACAAAGGCCTCTACAAAGTCAACTTTACACCTCGTACAAAAAAAAAACCAAACAACTTGAAAATGCTGCAAGTATTAGAGAAACTAAAGCTGATCTGGTAGTGAAAAATCAGAGGCTTGGTACTTGTATCTCAATCTACTACTATGCAAACACAGGTCACCTAAACATTCCTTCCAACACAATGAACGCACAGAACTCAGTCCCAAGTAAGTATTAACACTATTTGACTAAATCTTGTTTACAAAACACAGACCATAAACAGAATTGCAAAACTCTGACATCTCCCATACAGCGAAGATGTAGAAAGACCGAAATAGCTGAGTGCTTTCTTGCACTTCAGCTGCATTTCTAGTCACTCAGTCCTAAAATCTTCCCTCCTCTCATTCAGGACCAGCCACCACGCAGGCAAATCCCACACGTGTGTTCACATGCCACGCAGCACCTCGGAGCTGACCGAGCACCCCAAACACAGGAGAAGCGGCAGGAGCTGTGCATATCTGGAGCTGCCACCCCCATGGAGATTCCAAGACCTTCAGCAGAGCAGTGCTGCACCGTGTCCTTTTTCACCTGGCTTTCCGGCTTAATAACTTTTCAGAGAGCACCACAGAATCATAGAAATGTTTTGGTTAGAAAAGACCTTTGATATCATCAGTCCAACCATAAACCTCACACTGCCAAGTCCACCTCTAAACCATGTCCCTGAGCACCACATCTACACGGCTTTTAAGCCCCTCCAGGGAAGGTGACTCCACCACTGCCCTGGACAGCCTGTTCCAGTGCTTGACAATCCTTTCTGTGAACACATTTTTCCTCATCTCCAATCTAAACCTCCCCTGGCACAACTTGAGGCCATTTCTCTTGTCCTGTTACTTGTTACTTGGGAGAAGAGACCAAGACCCACCTGGCTACACCCTCCTTTCAGGGACTTGGAGAGAGTGAGAAGGTCTCCCCTCAGCCTCCTTTTCTCCAGGCTCAACAACCCCAGTTCCCTCAGCCGGGAACTCAGCACACTTGTGCTCCAGACCCTTCCCCAGCTCCGCTGCTTTTCTTTGCACAGCAGCAGCGTTGCAGCGAAGCACAGCAGGAGAGAGCGAGCAGGGACATCTCCCTCCTCGGGCCATGCTGCAGCTGAGCCAGCACCTACGCGCCCCTTTGTTTCCCTGTCACCGCGGGCGGAGATCGGGAGGCCATTTTATGGAGAGAAAAAAAAAAAAGGCAAAGGAAAAAGGGGGTTACAGGGGAGGCAGCG